CGTGATGTTCCCCGATCTTTCTAGAACTCATTACGTGTTACCAGGTCACGTGACTTCCGCTGTCGTAACAGTATCTAACTTTGTTTAATCACTTTGGTGTAACAAAAACTAGATCTTTGATTTCTTTAGTAAGGTTATTTTTTCCTATATTAAAAGTCAATTTTAGTGTATATAGGTCTATGTGATTGGCCCAGCCATACTGCCGTAGTAACGATTTCAATTTTAAACCAACATGTTACACGTCTAGCTTCGATGTTGTTTACTACTAAAAATATCTTAATTGTGGAATTGTAGAGACAGGCATATCAAGGATTGTCATGCGATAAGGCGATGAAAACTGCCTGTAACTTAATACAAAATTAAAATTACACTAACATTTCTAGTAATTTTAAAGTTATATTTAAAATGTTTATGGACTTCATATACTTGGAGGAGTGAACGATGTTTCGGTCTTTGATTTTGAATTAATGCCTTCTTCAAGTTTTGAAGGCCTCACTACCGAGACCGAAACGTTTTGTAAATTTTGCAGTTTTATACTCCAGGCAATTGCAGTCCATAAAAACTTCAAATTTAGTAAAATGTATTCTACTTAAAACTCCTCTGAAATGACTAAGTCTGAAAACGATGTTATACAAACTTACACAGATTTTTGAAGTTCAGAAATAAACTCCATTTTTGTTTTGTCTTGCTGATACAAGGAACAATAGTAGTCACTTCCGTGTGTGATATCCGATCTCTGAAGATGGCCTATAAAAATAGAGTTATGATATTTATTGTTTGAAAATATAAACAACATGATGATACAAAAGAGTCCCAAAGCAGAGTGACACGAGTCTTAAATAGCTGAGAAACTGAATAAGAGTATAGTAGTAACGTGTGTGATACTATGTCACTATAAGGTTGGTAATTTAAAATCATATACTTTACTGAACCAATAGAAATTCCAATAAGGGCAGCATATAATAGAAATCCAAACATAATGGGACGATGTATTTCCTACTCTTGGGGAATGAGGTAAGGGTCTCAGCCTCCCTTTAGCTATAGCCTATAGGCTAAAGCTTGCTCACGTGTTTTGTATACTATTATAGTTAAAAAAGTATGATTAAAAAAAAAGAAAAGAAAAACAGGTTAACAACAAATAAATAAATGCAAATACTTAGCTAAGTTCGTAAAAAAAACAAAACAAAAAAAAACTTGTGTGAAATCAGTACTCGCGTTTCACCCTTACTGGCCATAAGTAGTACTCCCAAAGTTTTGACTTTATTCAAATCTGATTTTTCTTGCCACGAAGTTCTTAGCGAACTTCATTAAAACACATTCAGTCTTTTTTCTTTTGTTATTAAATTCTGCTAAATAGTTTATTTAAATAAAGCTAGATTAATTAGTCAACCTCAATAATGCAAAAAACAGAGTTTAATAGAAGAATGATAAAAAAAAACACCACATAAACTCGAGTATGCAAATACAAAATTACTTTTCAAAGCGAATTTTTTTGAAAAATAATAAAGTGGTAGTATGGAAATAGTTTTGTACAAAGTAATGATCTATTTTCATATTTTATTCTCTGTCCACATAAATAATATAATCATGGTTGAACTTCGACTAATTTAACATTTACAACAAATCTGTTTAGTATATCCAAATACAAATTCATATGGTTATTATTTCCAAAAATAAGAAGTTGGCCTTAGCAAACATGTTTTAGAATAAATCCATTGTGGTCTTGCTTTAAATTTGATATTTTTAACCGAATATGCAGAGCAATAACTAATAATTTTGTATTCAAAACATACAAAATTACCTACCTTGTTTTAACAGACCAACAATGGTAACAATTGAGGCAGAACTTCTAATTTCAGATTTGGATCTTGTAGATTTCTTTCGACTATAGTTTAGTTTTCATGGCTCTCTAGATAAAGCTTACACCTCCTTAGATATTTAAGTTTTCCACATGATAATTCAGCACTTCACAACCAAAGAAAGACGGACAGCTACTACTTCTAGGGTCTTAATTGTGTTAACCAATGATCTAGCATATCAGGATAGATGCATTTCTAAACTTAAAGGGGTGGAGCGATTATTCGGGATGAACAAACAGCTCGCTTTTTTCTGTGACCTATGGTCTTAATTGTGTTAACCAATGATCTAGCGTATCAGGAGAGATGCATTTCTAAACTTACAGGGGTGGAGCGATTATTTGGGATGAACAAAAGAAAAAATTCAAACACCGTGAAATTGTGAATATTAAGAATAAATAAGGGAGGCTAATGACATCTTAATATTTATATTTCGAGCGATAAAAGTGATCTCTACTTAATATCCTCGTATAAATTTTCCAGCAAGTAATTGATTGAAGAAAGTCAAAAGTGTATTGTTATACCTTATTCAATTACATCATAATCGATTCTTGAATGTTCCAGAATATCGAAAATGTTTTTGAGCATTATTGTTAGTTTAACTGTAATGTTAGATTCAATGAAAATGTAGCTATGAAGTTATTAGTTTCTTAATAGTCAGTATCATCAAAATACTCTGCCCTGAACTCAACTGTTCTGAGTTATGGATACATATTTCGGGTCGCCTTTATTAACATCAGTTAAAACAACTGTGTATGTGGAAATGAATTTTAAAACGAAGGTTGA